ATCGAAGTTTTGCAACCCACGATCGATCCAATTTTTAATCAATACAGCAACAGATAAAGCCCGTGTTCATGTTTCTGGCCCAACGAAACCTTATCTTTTATTCCTAGCAAAAAAAAAAGAAAGAAAAGAAAATCTAAATGCACAGTTAAGTTGAAATTCTAATTTATAGCACATACACCATTCCGAATCAATTACGTACTTGTCGTTCTTAATATATGTTTAGATAATTAAAAAAAAGGATGAAATATAAGGTTGTTCAATTATTGATTTTTTTTATTATCCCTTCGAATTGATTTGGAATCACAGTTAGTAATGGTCGACACAGGTAAATTTAGATGGGTGTTAACGATAGTGACATATAAAAGAGGATTAAAATAATGGAACTAATATATTTACAATCTATACATTTAATTGAATACATAAATAAATAATTGGGCTTCCATAACCCGTTCAACGCTTATAAATGAAGATTGTGGTACAAGCAAGTAAACGCCAAGCATCTTCCTCCAAATTCGTTGAAGTGGGCCCGTCGGGCTCCTGCTAAGATTCTCTGACTCACTATGCATCCAACTGTTCCATCCCATCGGAATCACGTCTCCACATTACTCTTGACTTGACCAGCACAGCACAGTTAAACAGGTTCGACGATGGCATGTCGAATAGAAGCAGTGACCCAGCTCGATGCAACCAGCGGATGGATTTGGAGTTCCACAGTGTGGTGCAGGCTTCCCTGATGCAACTGTCCTTGCATAGTGGCGTCCTATGATACTTGTTGCCCCGAGAAGAATGGAACAGAGACCTGACTTCCAGGGACGTACTACTTGGGAGGTTAAGGCCGAGTGCACGTCCCCGGGAGCTGCAGGGCCACTGTGCTCCCGAACGCCATGCAACCCCAACAGGAGAATCGCACAGCAAGCCCGCTGAAGTGGGTCGAGACTCGCACACAGAGACCACTGTGGAAGCACAAGCCCCAGCCGCTGCTGCTACTGTACTTGCACAGTCGCAAGAAGATTTGAGCAGTAGATGGAGGTGGAGATGGAAGTCTGCTTCCACGATCTCTGGCGAACTGGATAGGACCGCAGGCCACTCACTGTTCCAAGTGGCTCGTAGACTAAATCATACAGTGATGCGGTCGGGGAACTTAAATGCACTCCTACTGTTCGAACAGTAGAAGAGGAACTCGATATATATTCCATGACCTTAATATTTTATAGCTCCAAGCAAGTTCAACGAGTATACGAAACATACGGCAGGTGGTGATTGGCTACAAGGTAAACCCTGTAGCCATATTCTCGTACTTGTAGCTCGGATGAACTAGTAGTATAGAAAAAAAAAATAGCAATCAAAGAAGAAGAATAAAAATAATAAAGAAAGAACGAGCTCATTTGAGTCCATGCTCGTTAGATTAAAATATCAGCATGACTGTCGGCTGGCACGATGGCACCATCAATGATAAGCTCTTCTTCAGTTGTTAAATCATCATTAACTATCATTTAGAAGCACAGCAAGCCATCATTACGTTGGCCTATGAACGGAGGAGCTCCATAATATCAACTAGCGTCGGAGTGCGATGCACATACCTGACTTGTGTCTTAATCGAGGGCCCGCCACCGCCTTGACATCCCTAACTTGTCGCGGTTCGATCAGGCCAGCTGATCCGACGGCTACTGCGAAACCGGAGTGCGAGAAGGAGAGAAGATAATTATGGTTGCGGTCTCTTTGGATCCCAATGCTGTGGATCAGCAGTGCAGCGAATGTGTAACACGTGTATGGCAGCTAATGAGACCAACCCAACCCAAGAAAAACCCATCTCGCACGTGCCCCGCCCGTGATTCAAGCTGCAATGACTGCCCCCACTCTCCAAATGCCTCGAGTCTTTACAGCGGTGAGGAGGAGAGGCTCACGTTTACGTCGCCCGTGACTCGGCACCATCCCCCACACGATTATTATGACTATTGTTTTCACCCGCGCACCACTGTTCGCTATGCTTCCGCCGTAGCTGCCTTGGCGAGCCCATTCTTCCACCTCTCGGGCGACAAATGCGGGCTTATCCAACCAATCGATTGCGAGGACTAAACTTTGGATGGCCATGCCGACTTCTTGCATCCTGGGAAGGCTCACCGGGCTGACACTGGGGTTAGATGAGTGAGGTGTTTAGGAGCTAAGTCACATCTAATGGAGTCGGCACAGTGCGCTGCCAGAGTTGCTGTTTGCTTAGCCGACGAAGGAGACAAAGCATAGATGCAAGATGTCAAATTCCACTCTCCAGGTTTTGGAATTTTCAATGCCCATCCATCGAAGGATGCTACGCTGCCGTATCCCACGTCCTCGCCACTCCCGCTGGGTTTACATCATCACCGTCACCAGTGCATCGGAAGTCTAAACAACCCATTTGTAGCCATATAAAATGTTCCCTTTCCCTTCTCCCCATCCAAGGTAGCCTGAAATCTCAATCCGGGACTCCATTTCCTCTGCACCACATCATCACGTCGCTGCTGCAGAAGCAGAAGAAGGTGGAGGCGTAGCTCACACCCACACACCATATCGTTTACTCGGGGTAGTAACTAGTGAACCACTCCCTCCTTGGGGGCCTTTACTGCTGCCATACCCTGCGGATCTCTGCGACCGACCCCTTTGACCAAACCCTTTTTATCATCTCAGAGAGAGATCTCCTCTGAGGGGGAAGCCTGACGACGAGGGCTCTCACACCAAACAGAGTAAGATACGGTTTACCAAACCCAGGATCTTTCTTTTTTCTTTCCTCTATCGAGCCTCCACCCCCTGTTTGTGTGTGTTTCGATGGGGTGTCTCAAGCAGAGAGGCTAGCAAGGAAGCATAAAAAGTAGTGGGGAAGAGAAGCACAGCTCATTCCCTTGTTTCTCGAGCGACGTGTGTGTATCCATCTACCTACACAGTAGCGGGCAGCCCTTTGGTTTGGCTCCCCTGTTCTTGGCTTGTCGTCTAAGAGCAGCTGCGATGCGTTAGGATAGACCGGAGCTTTGAGATAATATATCTTTCCCGAGGAGATATTTATCAGCAGAAGGACGGGAGAGAGACCGAGAGAGAGAGAGAGAGAGAGAGAGAGACGATGAGGTCGTACTGAGTGTTACTCTGCAAACCGGGCCTAAAACTCCGACATTGTTGTAAGCATTGAGCTCAGTTTTATTACTTGCTGTCGCTTACCTCTGTCATTTTATGAAGCGTTGCCTGCTAAGTAGAGGGGAAAGGTCCAGGGTTTTTCGTTCTTTGAGGTGTGTTCCACACCTCCATGGTATGGAGTCGTGTTTTCTAGCGGAACAAAGCGGTGTGTTTTCTAGCTGGGCCGAGTCAAAGATAAAGACTACAGGGAGAAGGGAACAACCGCAGATGGCAGGAGGAGGACGACGACGTTAAATTTTTTCCCCTTCAACAAGTTTAAGATGGGCCCTATTCCTTTCCTATCTACCTTCTTTTTTTTTTTTGAGGCAACAAAAAAAAAAAAACAAAAAACCCCATACTATCTTTTTTTTTTTTTGGCCGATAAATCCGAGTGAGGGAAGAATGTTGGGAGACACGAGATGTTCACCATAGCGCGTCTTTTTACTGTTCGAAGTGCAACGATCACATATCTGCCCACCCCCCTCCTCTCATCTCCTACACATGCTCTTTTTCCTTCCATGAAACTCCTTAGGTTACTTAATTCTTTTTGAAGATTTCTCGCTGCTGCTGGTGCCTTCTTTTCTAGCTGTCCACCACCGCCATGCTCATCTCCCAACTTTTAAATAGACCCCCTCGCGTCATGCCTTCCCTACCTTGTAGTTTTTGATTCACTCCTTTCCCTCACTTTCTCCGTAGGAGCTCCTCGGCGATGGGGCGGGCTGCTAGGTGGCTGAGGAGTTTTCTGGGAGGGAAGAAGGACACCAAGGGTCAAAAGGACGATGCCAGCACCAGTGGCCACGACACCAGAGATCGAAAGAGGTGGAGTTTTGCCGGACCCCAGCAAGCCGCAAGCATGGGTCACAGCCCTGTTACAGCAGCGTGGTTGAGCACCTTCCACGACGACAGCGAGGAGGAGACCAAGCACGCCATAGCGGTGGCGGTAGCCACTGCGGCCGCTGCCAACGCCGCGGTGACGGCGGCTCAGGCGGCGATGGTGCGACTGAAGAGCCTTGGGACAGAAAGAACGACGCCCTATGGCATCTACGAACGGTGGGCTGCTGTCAAGATTCAGACAGCCTTCAGATGCTACTTGGTATGGATAAATATGGTAGACTTTGTGAAGAGATCCCACCTTTCACTTCGAGCGCCTCATCTGATTCTATCCTCGAGTTATTTGAATCTGGATAGTCCTTTGTTTAGTCTTCTTCTCTCTCTCTCTCTCTCTCTCTCTCCTCTATTGCTGTTTCTTATACCTGGTTTATGCTTTAACTATGGTTTGCTAGCCCAGGCATCAGGTCGTATATCTATTTGGCGTTCCTGTTGTGACGCAGGCAAAGAAAGCTCTTCGAGCTCTCAAGGCGCTGGTGAAGCTGCAGGCTCTAGTCAGAGGCTACCTTGTGAGGAAGCAAGCAGCCATAACCCTCCGCAGACTGCAAGCTCTTGTAAGAGCTCAGTCTGTAGCCAGGCCTCGAGAAGCTCGTGCTCTGCCCCAGCAAGGTCGAAGACTCGACGCACAAGTCTGCCATCGCAGATCCTTCGTACGACCGAGATCCTCAAACACTAGTGGTATTTACCCTTCAATCGACGACCACCATCCTCTGATTCTGTGTTCTCCTCTTGCTCTCTTTCGCCCAGGAAAGGTTTAATGTCAGAGATGCAAGGTGCAAGCCTACGGGATCAGAAGAGAGCCATGGCCTCGATAGGAGTCCAAAGATCGTGGAGATGGATACCTTCCAACTCAAGTCCAAGTCATTCCGGAGGACAGGTTCTTCTAGTTTTAATGCACTCGAGGAACCCACGGTGCCACTTTCTTCTCCACTCGCACACAAGATCCCGTCTCGTCTCTCCATCCCCAGCTGCCGGAGTTCTCGAGACTACCACTATTACCGAAACCCTGAAAGATCTCCCTGCTCCAAGACAGCACAAAATACTCCTCGCCTCAACCCACAAACTCCACCGAGGTACATGAACATAACCGCAGATGTGGTTGTATGGCACACTCCGAGCCCCGCGAACTCTCCGAACTACATGGCAAACACATCGTCCTCTGCGGCAAAGTTGAGGCCTCAGAGCACGCCGAAGCAGAGACCAGAGAAAGCCAACCGCAGGAAGAAGTTGTACGCAAACGAGACCGTGCCGGGGACTAGTCTGAGCGACACCTGGTCTCCCTTACAAGAACACGAAGCTTATTGCAATTTGAAATATGGGATGGTGGGAAGGATTAATAGGACTGCCAAGATGGTGAAGGAGGCAGCCAGGGATTACTACTTGGATAGCATGTGGTGAATCAGTAGTGAAAGCAAACTGGTTTGGGAGAGGTTCTCTTGGAATTGTAAGAACCTCTGAACTATTCCTTGCTACTGAATTGTGAGTGTCGAGGAAGGGATCTGTAGATTCTCCTGGTCTGATCTAAATTTGCTGCAACCTTGGTTCTTAGCTTCCTTTATGAATCTATATCAACATGCCAATTTCAGTAATCTACTGTTGAAGTGCTCAAAACTTGAAGGAACTCGGTCCTCGGGATAAAACCAACATCTTGTGTCATAAGTACAAACAGCCTTGTTGAATGAGCTAGTTTTGACAGTATGCCTTGCCTATGAGACACTAAAACTTAGTAATTGTGAAGCTAGACCCAGACTTTACATTTTAGAATGCTTTCTAAGATAATCATACTGAATCGTTTTAAAGTAATCCAGTCCAAAAAAATCTATAGGGCTTGAATGGGATTATTTTATAGTTTTAATTTTTCTTTCTTAGGATTTCTAAGGAATCCACAACTGGGTCCATCCAGAGTTCCCTAAATCTCTACCATACGATCCTGATCTTGACAACAACATTGATCTAAAATTCGCCTTAAGTTTATGAGGAATTCTATTCATCGATCAATTGATTATAAATGTGTGCCAAGTGTTCGTCTTAAATGTGGCTGACACATATAATGCCTGCAGGGGGAGTTGATTCCTCTTCAAGAGGAAGTGTACATGTGTGATCTAAGAGCAACTAAAAGATGGATTAACTTAGTGACTTTGTTTAATTAAGTGACCTACTAAATTCTTGGACAAGACCAATATGTTCTGAGCTAAAATCTTTCGGAAGAACCTATCTGATTAGCCAACATCTTTTTTATTATATATCAAGAGCTGCACCCAAGCAGAAGGGGCAGTGCACAATGGATGGGTAGGAGTAAGTGCCAGGCAGGATCTACCATGAGATATTTCATAATTTATTTGTATAGATCCACCAAGAGAAACTCAATCGATCATATATTAGTTGCAATACTACAATCAACCAAATAAATCAACTTTATGAAATAAAAGATTCAGAAAGTTTAGAGAGTACTAATCTTTATGCACATAAGACAAGATGAACCACCACATACTTTTTAAGTGCCTAAACACGATATTCACGAAAAGAATTTGCAGCAGGTGATTAAGAAATAGGTAATCTAAGGGAAGTCATGTAAATGGCATGATATACCGCAATCTTAAAATAAAGTAATTGCATTCGGGATATACTGCACTTACAGATAACTCACCCATAAACAAATAAAATCAACCTACCAGTTATCCTATCTATAATTATTCTACAATGGGGTAGTCTAACACACACAATTTCCATCAATGCAGATTCTGGGGATGGAAAAGTTGTCAATCAAAGAAGCTGTTTTTCATGAACATGTATTCTATAATAATGATTATATCTGGATAAGCTTCCAAGATGAAGGAAGATCTACCAATGTCAAAGTGCTTAGGAGTAAATGTCTTCTGCAATCTCAAATTAATTGATCTTACTGAACATAAATTTATCACCAAGCATTTTCAGATATGGTGGTCCTGAGCACCTACAAGTTGTGACATGCAGTGTCCTCTTCAATGATGACAAACCACATTTAATCACATGAGCGGTGCGAATAATGATTACGAAAAAGACCCGTTGCTAAATGAGACTGATAAGGTTAACGTATAAGAGCATGTCATCCAATCTTGGAAGAACTTCTAAATATAAATTAATAACAAGTGTAGTAAAAAATCGCAAACAAGTTAGGAGAACTTATTTGCCACAGCAGAGGGTCAGCATCCAATCAATCATTGAGAAAAAAGAAATCAGGAAGACAAGAGCAAAAAAGAATGGGTTTCCTTTGTCCTATCTCTCTCAAAGAGAACCTAAACCGAGGTTGTTCACCAAATTTTTAGTCTCCTCAAGGAGATGGTAGTGGATTTTCAGGGTTTGCAGTTGCAAGATTTCTTCAAGAGATGGAGGAATAGGCATAAAATCAGAAAATCATTTTTTCTAAAAAAATGATAAAATTTATGGACATATTTTCTTCTCTATTTTCTTAAATCTTTATTCTTCAACATTGATTTCATACTTTAACCGAGTTTCGATATATCTCTTGTGCACACTCCTGCTTCTCTACCTAAACATTGAGCTTGAATGCTAACCACAATCTCTGTTAGCAGATCCCTCTAGAATATCGGCATCAGCTTCATGTTAGTGTCATTCAGGATAAATTTCCCATCATGTAGATGTGACACCAGCTGAAAGATCCATGCTTTTATCTCAATGAATCATAAAAGCACATGTAACAGTGCATGAACATTCAGCAGTCAATAGTGATATCGGTTGTTGTGATTCCATAGATGAGCTCCGCTAAGAAGTAAATCATATCAAGAAGGTAAAGATCAGTAAGGTAACCGTAGGCGAACTCAACTCAATCTTTCCGCATATTTTGTCGAAGTCTCTAATCCAGATTAAAAACAAAAGCTGCAGTTTTCTTAATTGGGGGGTTCAAAATGGAAATTTAGCATTAAATGAATTCACACCGAACTCACTACCTACCGGTGCACCATTGGCGATATCATACATCTTATCTTGCTAGGCCTACATAAACAACATAACAATCCTGAATTACTTGGACAATAACTTGAGATCTGACTCAACCAGTAATCCCCCATGCTCTAAAGTATCGGTTGACAATCAAAAACAAGTTTCTTTATATTCGCTGGTCTAAAATGTGACCATGAAACTAACTGTTCTTGCCCTCTGTGAAATAAAAGCTTGCTCTCGAGAGAATAGAAAATCATAGCATCCTTCAACGTGTTTATTGTGAGTTTTCCCTTGTTATTTCAAACTTCCCTTTGTGTCTCTATTCAAACCTCAAAGTTTGATTCACGGTCATGGGTTAGGGAAAGAGTTGACCATTTAGATTGCATTATGCCGTCTGACAAAACAGAGTTACTTCCTGCAACACGGTAATTCATCGAACACCTTGAAGGTTATCTCGCCCTCCGGTTCCAACAAAAAGTAGTGACTGCGATCGCTCTCAAAAGAAACGATCGCCAACTCAATCTAACGAAATTAATCAAGGAATCTGGCAACCACCAGAAGCATCATACTGTAATCAGACACAGACATCACAAGAGAATTTATCTAAGAATGAACTTTCACAAGAATGACAACAAATAATAAACCCGAAGTTTCACAAGAACAAGTACCTCCCCTTTTTTTTCGCCCTCTGATGCCCCTCGGCGACAGAAGCCATGCGTTCTTCTGCAACGTGCAAGAGTAGGCCTTCAATTCCACGAACGACAGGGTAACAAGGGAAGGGTGACGATACAAATCTCGCTACTCCACTCGGGAATTGGAAGAACCGGACGTCTAGGACCCCGAATTTTAGCACTAGAATCTCATGATCGTCGTAATAGGGAAGAGTCGGGCGGACGACTAACCCTAATTCCAGACTCGTCGAGAGGAAGAAGGCAAATGAGCGGCGCTCAGAATCATTCCTACTCGTCGACATACCTTTTTTTCTCTTATTAAAATAAACTTTAATTTATATATTCGATATACATATTTGAGTATTAATCTCAATTTTTTAGAAGTAAATGGTATTTATCTTCCAACTTTTCACAAATGTCACAAATCTCCCATCAAACTTCTCTTATATATATATATATATAGAGTCCAATGAATAAGGTTACGTGGAATTCTGGGTGGGTGATAGAGCATGCAGCCAATGAGAGGAGGAAAGTGGTACGAAGAAAGGATTTAGGACACGTGGAAATAGGGAGGGGGGACCAAATTAATGTTCTTGGAAGAACCCAATTCAATTTTCATTCGGGAGAAAAAGCCTCTGCCAATAAGGTCACGTCGTCGAGAGGGGACCGTATGTTTGTTTCTCAAATCTTTTGTGCAGTATTGTGACATCTCAATTTCATCGATTTAAATTGGATTTAGACGTTAATTCATCAATCTGATTTGTTCTTTTGCGAGATGTAAGCAGAATTCCGACTTCCGAAAGAAAGTTGAATCCCATCACAAAAACGAGAAGAGGACATAATAAAATAATTTTGTTTTCATAGTAAGACTAAAATTAATGGGTTTTATTTTTTTATTTTATGTTAATATAAATTTTGATTATTTAGATTTTGAGATTCATCTAATAATTAAATAATATATCCTATAATTAGTTGTTCACAAACACCTGCTTGTTATTGTGCCTTAGATTTTTTTTCTCATATTTCTTATTATTATTATTTTTAGTTGGGAGTCTTTCGATTTTATCATTTAGGTAAATACTTAAGCAATTAGTGGTTGCTAACCGTTTGTGTAATTATTTTGGTAGTGGGAAGTCACAAGATTAAAGGCTTAATTAGTAATAGTACCCTATTAGTTCGAAATAAACCACGAGATGAGAAGACGACGGCATGGGCTTATCCGGACCGTTCGGGTCACGAATCAATTTAACATTGGGCTTTGCCGTGATTATTAGGGTTTCGACTACATTAAATGAAATAAGGTTTCTCTTATGAAGCCATCTCTCACTATGAAAAATAAAAGTCTCAGTATTATCATTATTATTATTATTATTATCGTCGTAGATAAATTTTAATATTAAAAGGTCAAGACGGTAATATGTTAGAATAACATATCTAACATCACTTTCTTTATTAGCCAAACGGATATTATATCAATAAATTAAAATATTTAAAATTAATTATAGATCTATTTTTATAGGTTGTTAGGAATGGCGTATTGATTTTCTCATACACATAACATATAAAAAAAAGTTCCAATGTGTTGTTTGTGTTGCTAACTTATATTTTTGGTTGTCGATCCTTTTTAAGTCTGACGTGGAGATGAGTAGGTTTGACAGGACATCTTACAAATCTAAGCGACAAAAACTCATTTAATTTAGTAATTCTAGAAAAATATAATGTACGATTAAAAAAACTCTCTCAATTCACATATTTAATAAATAATAATAATTATTTATTACTTAAATCGTTGGATCGACATGTCAAACTGACGATACATTAGAATAAATGTTGATATTAACATCTTATATTATTATTATTATTATTAATTGATTAATTAATTTTGTTAAGCTTCACATTGGCAATATTAACTATACCAACATGGACCGATATTTCTCATACATGTATTTGATTTATCATATTTCTCGATAAACAA